TTTTACCACTTTATCGTTCAAAATATGAATGTTCATTGGGGTTTTTTCCGGATTTTTTTTTCACTATTTTACCACTTTAACTAGTTGTACAAGTCATAAGAATGTATCCAACATGTTTTATWAAAGTTCAAGAAGTTATTTAACATGTTTTGGATTGTTCAAGGATTTATTTGTTCAAAAAATTGTCCAAGGAGTTATTTAACATTTTTTGGAATGTCCAAGGACTTATTTGTTCCAAAAATTGTCCAAGGAGTTATTTAACATTTTTTGGAATGTCCAAGGACTTATTTGTTCCAAAAATTGTCCAATGACTTATTTAACATATTTTGAAATGTCCAAAGACTTATTTGTTCCAAAAAAATTGTCCAATGACTTATTTAACATGTTTTGGAATGTCCAAGGACTTATTTATTCCAAAAAAAAAGTCCAATGACTTAATCATTCCAAACAAGAAAATCCATTGGTTTTTATTGTACTTTTCCCTCTACCATATTACTAATTCGATGGAATATAAAAAATGACACCAAAATTTTAAATTTAATTTTTTAGATTTAAAAAATATCTACAATATAAAGCTACATATTATTCATTTATTAAAGAGTGAATTATGAATTTGTTATTTGTGTTTTGATTTTTACGACTAGATTTCCTATGATATATTTATTATACATTTGGTCGAGTGGTATTCGATTTATCGTGGTCATGGTCCTGTCCAATTAATATTGTTAAAATGAATCCGTTAACCAACCAAATAAATGTCACTTTAGTCTTTTTGTCTCTTTTATGTTCTTTTCCTATTAAAACGTAAAACAATATTCTCACATAAATATATACACACACACACACATATAGGGAGGATCAAACGGGAATAGTATGCATTTAAAAGAACACGAAAACGAGCGGTTCACGTGTGATTTTATACTAACATCACATACATCACATGTAGTTCAAACGACCTTGCTCGGCGACCTAAAGACACAATCACGAGTCGTCTAGACACTTTTTTGACCATTAATGTAATATCATATATGATTTTACACGTGGTTTGCTCATTTTCATGTTCATTTAAATGGGTACCGTTCTCTTTTAAAGATATCATAAAAATTTGACAAAAATATTTTGATATTAATATCAAATTAATTATTTAAAATTCTTATTTTTGTGTAATTTTTTAATTCAAATTTTTACTATAATTTAATTTATGTTCAATAACGAAGTAATATATATTTGGTTTAATAATATAATTTTTTAATACAGATAATAATTAATTATTTTGTTAGAGCTCGATAATTATCTTAATTATATTTTAGATTTTTTATATTTTAAAATGAGATGTTTATCTTATATTTGATTATGTTTATCCGCATTTAGTTATACGAATTCAAATATCGAGCTTTAATAAGTTGTATTTATGCATAATTTATTTGTAATCTAGAATTTTAAGTATTATGCATCAATATACAGTACTTTATGCATAAAAAATGAGTTTTAAGAGTTTTTGTCAAATTTTTTATAATATAGTATAGATATATAGAGAGAAAAAGTTTAGTTCAAATGTTAACTCAAACTATTGTGTTAACTTTATAAATTTTTTCAACCAATCATAATTCATCTTAGTATTAGGTTCTTCTCTATCTTAGAATCTAATGATTAAGGTATATGGATAATTTTCTTTTATTATGTAACTCTTATGTCATTAATTGGAAGTTACAAAATCATAAAATCTCATGATTTATGTATTTATGCATCATTAATTGGATTATACATTTTTTATGAGAAATATATATATAAAAAGAAAAAGTTAAAACGAGTAAAATGACCCTTCATTTAATTCAAATAGTATTGGTTAAGAATATGATAGCTGTAACAAAATCAATATCAGGTAAATCAAATCCATAATAAACATGGTAAAAAAGAACTTCAGTTTATTAAAAAAAAAAAAAAGAGAGAGAGAGAGAGGGGAAATCAGACTTTATTATATTTGGCGTCAACTCTCTAAATTGTACCTTGCTTTTGACCAATCTCTTTAAAGATTTGGAGAAGAATAGTATTTAATTCAATAGTGATGAAGTTTAGATTTTAGTGTTAGTTTATTAGAAAATGTGTAGATGGAAAGAAAGGGGTAATTATGGAAATAGACGGAAAACCGTACAGGGACAAAGAGGAAACTCAGGGGGCATTTAAGTGATCGTTCAGAATCATATAGGTCATGTCCCTCTCTCTCTCTCTCTCTCTCTCTCTCTCCAACCATGCTGTAACAAACCCCCGAATTTTAATCCGACGGTCAAAACTCATCCTCTCTCTAAATCTCTACGGCGAAGGATTCATCTCCCTCAGACTTATCATCAATACACGCACAGAAATGACGTCTAGGTAATGCTTCTCTTCAAATACTTTGTGTGTGTGTGTGTGTGTTGGGGTCTGATTTCATATTTATTTCCTCATATCATTTTTGCTAGGGTTTTATGATGATCGGATTCTGCACTTGAACCCTAGCTACCATCTCCAATCTCTTTGAATTCAAGGTACGTACATCATTTATTTTACGATGAAATCAACTCATCTCTGATTCTATTCATCTTCATTTTCAACTTCTTTTCTTGTTTCTTGCATAATATGTTTTTCACGCAATTAGGTTTTTCTTCTGGAGAAGGAATTAGTAGAATAAGAGTGTGATCTAAAGAGCTTAATCATTAACAAATTGAATCAAAACACAGAGGTGATAGATCTTTGGAAATGTTTGAATACAAGTTCCGTAATGCTATATATTTTGTTTCGGTTCTCGACCTCTCTTAAACTTACTTGTTTGATTTTTCTGATTAGCTTAATCAAATTCGCTGACTTTGATCAAGTAGAACATATATAATTAATTCGGCACGTGAAGCTTCTCCGATTGCCATATATAATGATATTCATTTATCTGAATCCTCTCATGAATGTGCGTCTGTTTATAGTCGACAGATCTAGTCTGTCAACATGATCCCATTGATTAATCTTTTTGAATATTATATCTTAATTAAATCTACTTCCGTACTAGATCCAAAAATCAATTTCGATATGCTGGTTTATTTAAATTTCATCAACAATTTGTATGTGCAGTTCTCAAAATATGTATGCAGTTGTGAAGGTAAAGGAGAAAATGTCGTCAAATTCACCGTGTGCAGCGTGCAAGTTTCTACGTCGTAGATGCATACAAGAATGTGTTTTCGCACCCTACTTTCCGCCAGACCAGCCTCAGAAATTCGCCAACGTACACAAAGTCTTTGGAGCAAGCAACGTTGCCAAAATCCTCAACGAGCTCAACCCCACGCAACGAGAAGATGCCGTTAATTCTTTAGCCTACGAGGCCGATGCAAGGCTCCGGGATCCTGTTTATGGCTGTGTGGGATTAATCTCGATTCTCCAGCATCGATTAAAGCAAGTCCAGATCGACTTAGACAATGCTAAAAGGGAACTGTCTAATTACATTGGGCCATCGGCCATGCTTCCAATTTTGAATCACGGTTTTATTCAACACTCAGTTGTACCTTACAACATGCAGCCGGAACCAGTTTTGGGATTGACCGGACCCAGGAGTAGTTGTTTCCGGGAGGTTCAGCACCATCAGCAAATACTCCAGGATCAGCAGCAGCAGCAGCAACAACTGCTTGCTGCCACTGGTGACAGAGAACAGCCGGAGGTGTTAAGAAACTACGATGATCAGCAACAGCGGTCGGCGGATGTTCTAGGGTATAACAGTGGGTTTGATGTAGTTTCAGCACAGGTGACTGGTAGCGAGTTCAGCCATATGACCACCACCGCTGCAGCCATGTCACCTTCTTTATCATTGGGAGGCTCTTATGATAATAACATATATCAAATCCAACACCAACCACAGCAAGTTCCCCACCACCTTCAGCCGCATCAGCTTTTGCTCCAGCAGCAACCACAAAGAGCCGGTAGTCCGGAAGGTAGGATTGTCAGACCGTGTTGATCGATCGTACTTGCTTCTCCACACACTTAATCTTTATTAGCTAGCTAGATCTTGTTTAAATCAAAGTTTAGTTTTAAATTAGGTAATTAAATCTCCTTTAATTTAATTTTGTCTCTCTAGCTAGCTAAGGACTCAGCCGTTTTTCTTTAATTTTCTCTAGTTAAATTGTTGAATTTAAGGGACATTTGATTAAATTTATTTTATTCCTTGTTTATGGTGCTTTTCTTATTTCTTACCTACCAAATCAAGATTAAAAAATGAGTATAAATATTGATCTGAAAAATATAATAATAATTAATTAATGCTAGGTAGGCGCTTCGATCTTTTTTATTTCGTTTCTCCAATTTTGCATTCATATTATTCCTGCAATACATAAATCGCAGATGGGACCTGGCTAGAATTTTCTTTTTGTATTGTTACCGTTTGACTACAAAAAATATCGTATTTTTTCACAATATTAATATAGATTTGTTGATTGGTATTTTGTCCTTGCATAGAAAAAACCTATGTTCGTACGGGTCTAGTTTACATATGTTTTAAAAAACACAAAAGATTTATTAAAAAACACCAAAGCCTGAAGCATTAACCATCTAATTAGTCATTAAAATTTTGTATTAACATTTCAGTTTCAAAAACTAGATGATTGCATCCAACATAACAATATGGTGATGCTCTTCAAAAACATATTGTTTTCCCTTACAATGAAAGTATGAAGCGATTACCCGTACCACCGTATCATGATATTGGATAGGTGTCCCATATATATAAAATACCACAATTGTGATTGTGATAACATTTTCAATATCAGTTTTCAACTACAAGTTAATTAATTTATATTACAAAAAATATCAGATTAATCATGAGAGACATTAATTAATTAAAATTAGTAACTCATAACATCAATTGATTTGCCTAATTAGTGATATATGGGTTAAATGTTTGAAACTTGGTTATGGTGGGTTTTAAAGTTTTAATGATGAGGTTATCTCAATGTGTGGTGTTGTTGATAGGTTTTGAATGAAAATACCAATAACCCGAAAGAAAAGGGATTCAATTTGACTTACACTAGACAAATATGTAACCGAATTTTCATTGGTTATGATTTTCCTTAAACTGTAAAAAGCAAATTTCATATGTTAGAAAATAGAGTTTAAATTATTTTATTTTATTTTTCGAATTTGTAGTTTCTATTTCTATAATTTATAATTTTTTTAGTATTTTTTCCTCTACTTAAGAATAAATCATTAGAGAATAAACTTTATGAAAAAAAAAACAGTAAACGGTAAAAAGTAAAAAGCAAATTTATAATTTATAACAAACCACAAAGACTAAAAACGTAGTTTACCTCAAAAAGAATATGTGTGGAATGAATATATAAAATATTTTAAAAAAAAATATAAAAAAGGAGTAATTAATGCAAAGGGGGTGTGGGTAGTTAAAGAGGAATTATTGTCTTATTTGGCAGCCATGATGCGTCACAGTCAGTAATGATAACCATAACCTGTACGTATGCTTCTATTTGTGTTGATAAATTGGTGGTTGGAATGAAATAAACAACCACCCTTTTCCCTTTTTTTTTTCATTTTTTCGTTCTCTTAAACCCTTTTTCAACCTAACTATTTTTTCTTTACTTCTTAATAGTTTTATTTAAAAACAATCTTTAAATCGTTAAGAGATAAATCTTATTTGATAAAAAATAAGTTTGTTTCTTAATGGTTCTAAAACATTCTGAATAATTTTGTATCATGAGCCTCCTTTTAACCATTAAGAGTCTTAATTTCATTGTAAATAATTAACAAACAATTATATTTTATTTTGCACTATATCATGAGATCTTCATAATCATTCTGATCACTTAATCAATCTGCACCAAACCATTCAGCAACGGTCAAACGGCCCCTTAGAAGTGTTTGGGATTGCTTATAAAAATAATTTATTGACTTATTATGGTGTGACACATGTAATAAGTATTTTTGGTGTTTGGATAAACAACTTATACCGATCTCAAATTGGTAAATAAGAAGTTTTTGAAGAATTAAACCATTTTAACTTATAATAAGTTAATAAAGATTTTTGTAAAAAAACATAAGTTGTTTCAAATAAGCAATCTCAAACACCCCCTTAGTGAATAAGCAATCTCAAACACCCCCTTAATGAATGTTTAGGATTGCTTATTTATAGTGTTTATTAATTTATTTTGATGTGTTATTGGTAATAAGAAGTTTTTAGTGTTTGGACAGAAGTAAAAGAAATACTTATACCGGTTTGACACCGGTAATAAGAAGTTTTGGTAAGTTATACTCTTCTAAATTATTAATTTATTCTTGTGCGGTACTGATAACAATGAACTGTTAATGTTTGGATGGAAAAAAAATATCAACTTATTACGTTTTGTTACTTGTATATAAGCTAATTCAAACATTTTTTTATAAACTATGATTTAACATCACATAAGTTGATAAACACTTTTATAAAAAATATATATATATATAAGTTGTTTTTATAAGCAATCCCAAACACCTCTTATATTAATACTACGTTTATTTTATTTTATTTTATATTATTTAACTACAAATCCTTTAAAGTAATAAAAAAATATAATTTCAAAAATACAGTATTTATGAAATATGTAAAAACTCTAATGCCTATGGATATGTTGTATAGGTGGTCTAATCAAATCACTTTAAGTATTTTTAGAAAGTGTTTTATAAATAAATGAGTTTATATGACATTTCTTAAAAATATTCTAATAAAATAGCTAAAACGATATTTTATTAAACTTAAATTATACAAAGTATTTTTTAAAAATCACTTATGATATTTTGGTGTCCTATAAAATCAATTTTGTTATAGCGTAAACAATAATATCACTAAAAAAATGCACACAACGTGTTTATCATGTGTACATATTCAATTGTGTTTGTGTATGTATGTTACAAGAGCGAGAATTTTTTATAATATATCTAATTTTATTTTTAAACCAATTCTGTTCGTTTAAATTAAATCTTATAGATCTTATGAATTAAAATCTTATAGATCTTATGAATTAAACAAGTTTTTTTTAAAACCTTTATGATACATATACATATTATATTATATATCTATACTACATTAATAAGTATTTAGACTAAAAGTCTTAAAACATAAATTACTATCAATTTATACAAGAGATTCAAAAATCTCTTAAGTATAAACTATTATGCACAATGTACAAATGCTTAAAACATACTATTTGTTTGGTCAAAGTTTAAGATTTAAGTAAGCCATATTTACATGAAAAAAATATGTTTGGTCTTCAAAAAGTTGTTTGACACTTTGTTTGTTTCCTATTTTGAACCCAAATTCAAATTCAAGGTTCTTCTTTCTTGAAGTAAACTGAAATTTGAAGCAACAATATCAGAAAGGATTTCAGATCTTGCATGCACCCCACCCCAACCTTTCAACTTTATATGGGTTTAGAAACTCAACATGTGTGCAATTATTTTTCCAATCGATCTTTCTATTACACCATATTAATCTTCAACTTTATATATTAGTTGACTTGTAAAATAACCACACAAACTTATGATTCAAGGCTAAACTAATGTTTCAGAATTGTGATTCATTCACGTTACATCACACGGGTACACCACTAGTGTGTGTGTATATATATATATATATATATATATATATATATATATATTGACTTGTAAATTATTCATGCTTTATGCTACTAACATTTAATTCTACTTTATGTTAATAAGATGCTGTACCTCTTAATTTTAAGGGATTTAATTGTAACATGCTTTTTGTTAGGTACATTTAATTTTATGGTAATATTGTGTTGTACTTTTATTTGAGAAACTTGTATATAAGTGTTCTCTTGGCTTCTAAATTGTATGTACTTTAAGGGATTTAATTATTGAGAAAAGAATTTTTACCTTAAGATGTTATATCACATGATTTTTTTTTCTCAGTTAAATCTAGCATTTAATGTATTGATAAATATATATTTATTTTATAATATGGTTGCTTCATATATGTTTGGTTCACAATGTAAAACTTTTTTAGATGTAACTTTTGTTTCACAAACAGACTAGAAAGGTGTAAAACATATAAATGTTGATCAATATTCTAAATCTTAGTTTTAGATAATTAAAAAATATATGAAATAACACATGATAGTTTTATATTTAGAGTAAATTACAAAAGTCATCCCAAGTTTTGTGAGAACTTTGGGTTCCATAATTTTTGAATATTACAAGGAACAATATTTATATTTAAATTTTGTTACATAAGGGTCGATAATCTTATTCGACAAGAGGTAAGACAAAATAAAATTCTCAACGAATAAATCAAGATGATGATTTTACTGGTAAGGGCTTACCATATAAGATTGCTACATATGATGCATTTTGATGTCAAGAATCACATGGTAAGATTGGAGAGAGTGGCGAATCTTAGTGATAAACGTTTAATCGCTAAACGTTTTAGTAAATGGCCCCTTGATTTCAATCTCTCGGTTCGCAAAAACAAATTAATCATTTGAAATGGGTTTTAAATGAGAGTTTAACAGCAAAAAATTTCTGAAATCTCCAAAATTTGAAGTAAAGAGCCATTAAAGATGTTTCTTAGAAACTTTAAAAATGAATTTTGTAATTTATTTAATCAATATTCCATCATGGGATTGACTTGAAAATTATGGATTGGACCACACAGTGTACATCCTGAGCACTAACCATCAAACAGATACACCTGACCATCAATGGTTGCTGAATGCCCTTCTTTTTAATACATAAGTTTCATAATTATTAATTGGTTATGACTTCAAGTTTATCATTATACATTTATTACATAAACTTTTTAATCTCTCTTAATATATAAATTTACAATCTATTATATATATATATAGAGAGAGAGAGGGGGTTGGTTATTATACAACCCTTGACATTTGTGCAACCAATAAAACTCAATCTCAACCGTCCATTTCATTTGATTAATATGTGATTTTATAGAAATTTTGATTGTTTCCTAATATAAAGTATTGATCATAATTAATGAACCATATTCATCTTCCATAAATATCCAAATCATAATAAATGAACTCTCATCATTTCCATAAATATCTCAATTTATTGGGTTGTATTGGTTATACAAATGCAACGGGTTGTATTTGAAACAAACTCACATAAAGGGACTTCCTAAAAAGCAAAACACAAACACTTACATAAAACTCATCTTTGTCACCTAGATCAACATTGGGTGTGTTGGTATACTAGACATGACAGAAGTAATGGTAATCATTGTTCCATGTTTGGCAAGACTTTTATGTGGAACAGACAAAAACAGAGTGGAAGAGGCATGTTCCACCCACACCCCAATGAAACAAGGTGAAACAGACCTATAATTTACCAATATAACCTCAAAATAAAACCTAATCGTCTTTTAAAACATCAAATATGGCTCATCCTATACATTATATTTATTCTTTAAATTTTATTTATTGTATTTTACATTTTTTAAACTTTTACTTTACTGTCCTCAAAATATGATTTTTATACGGTTTACATATTTTTGGTCAATTTATGCAATTTATTAGTAATAACAAAATAATTTAGAGTGAAAAAAATAAAAATTGAAACTACAGAAACTAGTTATTTTGGTGTCATTTTAATTATTTGACAAAAGCCTTTAAATGATATATTTTGTTAAAGAACATTTATTTTATTATAATTTAATAAATTACATAAATTGATCAAAAAGAATAAAATATATAAACACACATTTGGGGTAAATTGCTCTTTTTATCTGTTATGTCATGTCTAGTTTTGTCATACCAAACGCTGAACGGTTGTTCTGTCTAGCATGGACACCAAAAGAAGTTAGGTATTTTGCACCATAGATCCCTTACTTCTTCAATGAATTAGACTGGCAAAAGATAGTTGTTCGAAAACTCAACATGTATTCTACCTCATGGTTCGTTGTTGTCTAAATCAGAGCTTTTTACAAAAATTTAGTTCCACAAGAATCCATAACAGAGAATTAGGTTCTCATAAATGAGGGAAAAAGTAACTGGCCTGGATCAGATTGGCACAAAAGGCTTCTTGAATTGAGGTTAAAAGTCACCGATCCAAGAGAGCATACACAACAACTGATGCTTGAAGATCTTGGTCCACCTTGAAATGAGCATGAAAGAATCGTTTTCTCTGGCAATCATGAACCCGGATTTGATTTAGAGAAGTAAATAAATAAATAAAGAAGAGGTCGTACCGTAAGTCTTAAAGTTCAAGAAAAAAAACTGTACCTCTTCAAAAGAATGTGAGAGAAGGAAGTCTTTAAGATGTTTTTCTTCATTGTCGAATAGTACAATATGACTTGGTTGAGACCAGTTTTTTGCAAACTGTGATATGAAACCCATTGGATCCATCATGAACCGGTCAGATTCATCAGGGATTCCCTTAACTTCGCTGATAACAGATTACCAAAGTAGATTGGTAATTAGTTACATAAAGAAAGTATATGCATCAATGAAGAACAATATTATGGTATTGATTAAATTGACCTTCTGACAGTTCTTTTTTAAATCTATGGCCTTCTGACAGGTTTTTTTAAATTTATGACCTCCTCTCAGATTTTTAAGATCGTTTTTGCCCAACAGAAGAATGTGAATTCCTAACACAAGAATGCCTCAAAATCCGTCAGAAGGTCCATTTAGCTAAATAACCCCAAGATATTGTCACGGTGTATACCTTGGCGAACAGTCCAAGAAACGCATAGGAAGATTCTGATGCAAGGTTGAATAGTAGGGAGTAGCATGACACGGGGTTAGGAATAGGATACTTTTCAGATTCCCATGATAAGCCTCTTTGGCTAGATAATTCATGACGTCTTCGGTTCCTCTCTGGTTATTATTACTTTAGTGTAAGAACTAATCCACAAGCAAAAGAAAATAATGACAAATAATGAATTGGAGGATATTTTCAAGAATTTGCAAGAATTTCTTTCATTATCCAAATAAAAATCACTTTGTCCCCAAATCCATGTCCCATCAATCAAAATAAGGCACATCATTACTTTATTTAATGTATATTTATTTAATTCATCTTTCTATTCTCTTTTTAACGATGTGTTCTATTTTGATTGGTGGACAAGGAGGGGATAAAATTTGGGGACAAGTGATTTTTATATGCTATAAAATGTGATATTGGCATTTGAAACTTTTGGGCCATGATGAGTGTGCCAATAGTATATTTCAAACTAAATACATGCAACCTCACATCTGTCTCTGATTGCATTTTCTGTTATACTGTACCAGTTGTTGGCTTGCACACACTCTCATGTGTAGTTTGTTCGCTTGTTTCTTTTATTTTGTCGTGCAAGCCATGGGTCTTCACCTTGGGGTAGAGACAGGGTCTGCTTACATCCGACCCTACGTCTGAGTGGGATTTACCGGGTCCATTTAGTTTGGTTTAAACTAAATTCATGAAGTTAAAACAATTTGGTTTCAACTTTTCAGAATGCCGGTTCAACTGCCAAGCAGTGTTTCTGAGAGTTTTTAGCACCTGTTTTGAAGTGTCAATCATACAGCCCACCAGGCCATGTCAACCAGTTCGACCAACCAAGCCAGTTTTTATAACATTTATTGTTAGTAAAGTGCTAACTGAAGAAGCTGATGTACCTGATGAACCATACTCATGTAAACAGCCATGGGAAGATTTGTTGCAAGCAAGAAAAAGACAGCTGCTTGTATCTTCCAGGAACTTTTGGTGCGACTGTCTCTAGCTTTCTTGCTCTTTGTACCAGATGAATGTTGCTGGCTTAACATGGCTAACGAATAACCAGAGAAAGCTAAAGCTATTGGAAGCACAGGAAGGACAAACCTGTTAGTCATAATTCTATATGAATATCATGTAAAATATAAATAATCACCAGTTTCAACCATTGTACTTGGTTTTTTGTCGTCAACAAATCATTATTATTGTGAAAAATGCAAGAGAAAAACTATGCCTTGTAATTGTACTCAGCACTTATGAAATTTGCTCATTCTTGCAAAGTGTAGTGTAGTGTAGTTCTGTATTTTCCGTAACAATGGTCATTTAGAAAACTAAATAAAACCAAACGAACTCTGTACATCCTACTCGAGGGTAAGGCAGGGGATGTACGTAGACATATCCTCTACCCCAAAGGGTAAGAACAATTATTTGTTTGTGACAAAAACAAGTATGATGATTCATATATGCCACCCGGGTGTGTTCACTCTTTAAAAGGTAAGAGTTGGGACATGAGGTTCCAACCATGGAAGCAGACATACCTGAATTCCTTGTGCCCTAATACACTATAAAGCCCTAAAACCCACAAAATGAGTCCTGAAAGCTTCCAGTGTTTAGACTGGATGATGCCAACCACCATAAGAGGTAGGAAAGTAAAGATCATGACGGTAAATCCCTGGGTGAAGTACCAGTGCCATGGGTGAGTTCCATAATAGTCACCTCCAGAGGATAAAAAATTGAACTTTAAAAAGTTGAGGGGGACTAAAACCCACGAACCATACATCAAACGGTCTAGTAGGAATGTCAGTCCAAGCACAGTCGACCTGGCAATGAAGTAAAAAATATAAGCAAATTTATGTACGTGATTCTTAAGAACATGAGTTGCAATAAGACCTACCCAATCGGCACAACTTCAAGAAAGATGAATTTCAGCTTATTGCAAGACACATACAGCTCCATGAGGCCAACATAAACCCAAATGATAGCACTTGTTGGCCGAATGGCACAAGCTATGGCAGCACCAACCAAGGCCCAGGTTCTAGAAACTGGGGGGTCATTGCTCGAATAGACCCTTAGACAGGGCCAGTAGTAGAGACTGACAACCGTAAGAACAGTCTCTAAGCTATTGGATAAAGTGCGTGTGATACAGTAGAACATAAACCAGTTTGTTAACTGCGAAAAGAGCTGAAATGGAATTAAGTACAACAAATATGCAATCCAAATGATCAAGATCAAGAATACACATTTTTTGTTAATATTAGTTGAAGGCTCAACAACATTATAATATCTTACTGAAAATTGCCAACGAATTACACTTCAAAGGGGCAAAATGCATCAAAATACAATGACCTTTGGCAATGTTCCTATTTAGTGTAACAAAGATTTTTTCCATGATCAATGTAACGATGTTTCAAAGTTGCCTATTTTTCAGTCATTCTGATGACGTGGATGTCAAGTCTATCGTCCATTCCGACGTAATCCCGTAACCCTTTTGTAAGCATTTCGCAGAATTTTCATAAACAGGTATCCACATCATCAAATGTTACAAGATCAATAGGTTATCGGTCAAATGGATACAAAATTTAAAAAAAATTGAAACTTTGTTACGTCACATAAATTTGGGGAAAAAATTATCCGTTACACTAAATAGGAACTAAACCAAACTTTGTTGCATTTTGAGTGTTAACCTAAATATAAAGAGCATGACACAAAAGGATACTGCCCATTGGGCAACATGGCTACCATACAGGACATGAGAGAGTTTGAACATGTACAGATCACCAAAGGCAGAAAAAATTGATTGCAATAGTCGTGGAGCCTTAATCTGCATAGGTAGATATTGTAGAAGGATAGAATAAATTCTCTTTCTTCATAGGATTAACACATACGAACCTCGATACAAGATCAATGCAACACCCAAATAGTAAAAACAAAGATAATTACGTTACCATGAATAGTGGAGTATCAAGATGTAAAACGGAAAGAACTTTATAAAGAACTGCAAATATCATTGGATGCAAATAGCTACGTATCCCCTTTGTCCACTCCCATGTTAAATGTCCATATCTGTCAATTAAGCAAGAAAGTCAAACCCCTATACTTATACTATATTTTCCCTTCCCAAAGTAAGTGTCCACATTTATATGTAAATGTACGTATGTCCCAAAATAAGTGTCCACTTCAGATAGTTATAATTTACTAAATTTCAATTCTACCCTTCATTATGATACCCATATATTTAAGATTCCATGAGATGAAGAAATTAATTAGTGGGAGAAAATTGTTGGGAAATTTATTAAGGGTAAAATTGTCATTCATCTAATTCAAAAGTGTAATAATTATAAGTTTCTAAGCCTGTGTGCTTTTTTATTGTGAATACTTATTTTGGGATGGAGGGATTAGTAAATAAATAATGACGCAACATATACCAAGTCAAAAAAACAAATGGATATACCCAAAGGTAATTCGATGTGCAACTTCAAGAGCTTGCCAATGCTCGTCTGGGTTGAAATACGTTTGCACAAATAGAGAATTTGTCATTCTGAAAACTAAACAGAGCAACAAGATTTTCTTGGATGATGGAAATTGACTGGCCCCTTGCTTGCTATCTCCCTGCAAGGATTTGGGATTTGATAGTCCATCTCCATGTGCCAGCACAGCAGCATTTGTTCGCTTTCTCATTACTGAATTGAACAATCGAAGAGTTAATCCTACTTGTGGAAGCAAGGCAAAATAAAATTCCAAATTTTCACAAATACAAATAAAAATTGGTTGCAGCTGCAAATTTTTAGTCTTATCTGTAGCATACAACTACAACTAAGGCTACATATGTTATTGGCTTAAGAAAAATTCAATCCTTAATCATTTTAAATTTCAATATGGGTAAGAGAAGTATAAAACCAAACAAATATGGGATTTCATATCATAGAAGTGCTAAATGAGACGTAACACTAATTTCAAATCCAAACATAATTCTGAACCTTTTTAAAAAAAAAATATGAGAATCTGTAAGAATACAAGCGTTAATCTTTAGCAGACATATGAATGCATAGCAATATGTGTGTTCTGAGGGGGAAAGCTACATGAACCCGACTAGTGGCAGCAGCCACAGGATTTTTTCCATAGCACAGGGTCATATTACTCATTATTTGTAGTTTTATTATATGCATTAATAAGATGTTATTTAACACTGAAACAATTTAAGTTCTACAGATGGGTTGTCATATACAATGTTCTATTGATGTATATAATAAAGTTTGCATGAATCATGATCACTTATTTATCCATTGTTAAAGCCAAACAATAATTCCCACATAGAAGATTTATACACATGTACAAACATATAGCATAGAAGCACTCTTAATTAAACCAATTACAATTATGGTTATATGAATGAATATTATATATATATATATATATATATATATGCACATATGTCCTAGTAATAAATGCAAATAAGCAACTTGCTCAAATTAATGAAGAATAAATTCATACATCTATAAGCACTAATCATAACATATAGACAATATCTAATTAAATCTAAGGTCTCAAATGCCTGACCTTGACAGTAATCATCGAGCATACTGCATATAGTAACAGGCTTCAAAACTACATAAAAGTAAGGTTTGTGGAATTCAAGTTAAGAGTGAGCACTCGGAATTATAGCATGGAGGTAGGAAGTCGTTGAAGTGTAATTATTACCAGAAACGGGACTTCATAATTACATAGCTGCAACGGATAATAGTTCAAGTTCGAACGGAATTTGAACTCGTTTTACCTTTTTACACCTTGTAAAGATACAGTGCCGGACCCATGGTTTTTGCTTGGCGGGGGCACCTTTAAATCGGATCAAATTCCCGCAAGGCCGCTCGATGTGTTTTTAGCCGAATTCCGCCTTGAATGGATCTTTTAAGTTTTTTGTTTGATTTCGAAAGATGTTTTTAAGTTCTTTGGTTGATTTCGAGAGATCTTTTAAAGTTTTTTGGTTGATGCCGTTGGTTTCAAGAGAATTTTTCAGTTTTTTTGTTGATTTCGATGCCCTTATTCGGTTGATTTTGTAAAACTTCTTAACTTCTAAGGATTGGATTCTCTTATCCTTTACTGTTTTTCTAGGTTTCCAATTCCAATTTTGTTTCCTTATGCATCTAGGATTTTAGTACTAAATAGGATGTTTTACAAATTAAAATTAACTAACCAAATTTAAAGAACCCTAAAACAAACTAACATCAACAAGACAATAACATAACTAAGGTTGAGAAAATTAAAATAAGCTAAAAAAATTAACATCAAACTAATAGATACAAGGCAAATCTAGGGCACAAATATAGGTCAATAATCAAAACTCAAATACTCAAATGTAGAAACTCAAAAAAGACAATGAAATCATATAAACATAATTGCATAACATCATTTAGGGCAAAATTTTAAATTTGAGTTAGGTTTTTGGGACAAAACCTGAATGAGGGATTGAGAGGGTAACTGAGTGAGTGTGAGAGACTGATAGAGAGTGACTGGCCGAATAAAAGGGTGCGACCGTGAGTGAATGCGTCCGTGCGAGTAGAGGGCTGGGCAGGACAGGGCAGGGCAGAAGCTTCGAAGAACAGGGGCACAGGTTTGAGTCTTCTATTTGTTTTAAAATGTCTAATAAACCCCTCCAATATCCAGCGCTGTATTTGATGTTTAAAAAAATACAGTTTTGGTCCCTGTGTTCCTCCACGCAGATCGGATGGGATGGTATAACATAGGACATGATTAATTGTCTGTTTTATATAACATATCTGGTATAATTAGAATATGACTAGATAATACTGTTAAAATGACCGGCCTATTTATCAAACACATCTTCACGATGTCTTTGGCGTTTAGGATAGGACATGACAGATTGACAGCTAATGATTTGTTTATATATTTTTCTTAATTTATTAAATTATAATAAAATAAATAATTTTGTAATAAGATATTATTAGAAATTTTTTTATCAAGACAACTAAAGTGACACCAAAATGTAAAGTTTATGTGATTTTTCCGGATTTTATTTTATACCTTTCCTATTTATTAATAATATTTAAAAAAATACATAATTAACCAAAATATATAAAACATATAAAAATAAAATTTTGGGAACAGTAAATTAAAAGTGTTAAAAAAATAAAATACGATAAATATAATTTAAATAATGGATAAAATGTAAAAGGGGAGGTGTGTTTGATTTTAGAAGAGAATTTTGTTTTAAGAGTATACGGATAAGATATAGGTTTGTTACACCGTGTTCCATGGGTGTTCTTGTTTGATCCACATAAAAGTCATGTCAAACGTGGCACATTAATTTATGTTCTTTTTTTGTCATGTTGTGTCTTATGTACCAAACGCACTCTTATAAAAATTGAAATAAAATATATTTATGAATGATGCCCTTTTAACCTTTTAATTTCTTAAATATCTCGAAGCCACTCCCAAACTTTAACAAAAATTACTTATGGTTTTGGATTGAGCAGTGCACGGGACCTCGCCCATGTACAAATAGCTAGAAAATAATTTTATAACATGGAAACTTTCCTTTTGCCACAAATTCTATATTGATCGATTTGCTATAAATTGTTGTACATGTGTAAATTGAAGCACTAACCTATTTAGAGTCGAGTCTAGGTCGGCGAAGGCCGCCTCGCTGGCGTTGGAGATGGTTGGGGAGAACAGTGGTTGAGCGAGCTGGAGATGGGGGTTGGGGGAAGTCGAATGGGGCTGGGGAACCGACGATGGGACTACCTGCTACCTAGATTAAATGAAATTTGTCTAATTAATTGTGTATGTATTTGTATTATAAGGGTGTATTTGGTGTCCATACATGATAGGACATGACAGAACAAAACAATTGTTCAACATTTGGTAAGATAAATCTAGACATAACATAATAAGTAAAATGACCAATATACCTCTAATGAGTTGTTTATTTAAATTATTTTATGTAATTTATTAGATTATAATATAATAGTTAATTTTTATAACAAAATATATCATTAGAAAGTTTTCATCAAAACAATTAAAATGACACCAAATAAAAAGTTTATGTAGTTTCCAATTTTTATTTTTATCTCTTTTTTCTACATTTTTTTATTAACCTAGATATCCAACCCGTTATGCAAGCCGACTAATCCCAGGATGACCATTTGTTTTGCAGATAGCCCGGAGTCACCACATTTGAACCTCTATGGCCACAAGAAGATTTTTATTCCTCCTTGGATTTTTATTTTTTTATTATTAATGTATAATAAATTACATAAATTAATTAAAAAAAATAGAAACCGTAAAAAAAAAAATTGAAGACAGTAAAATGAAAGTTTAAGAAACATAAAATACAATAAATAAAATGAATAAAATGTAAAAAAGGAGAGCTATTTGATGGTTTATAAAAAAATTAACTTTTATTTTGAGGCTATATTGGAAAAACATAAATCTGTTCTACTTTGTTCCACCCTGTTCCATAGGGTAGGATAGAACAGGCTTGTTCCACCATATTCATGTTTGTTCCACATAAAATTCATGTCAAACATGTAACATAGATCTTTGTCATATTTTGTCATGTCATGTCCAATATACCAAACACATCATAATAACTTTACCTTTTATTGTGACACTACTTCCAAACATCAAATTTAAAATATAGATATCACTATGTGCCTTTGCAAACAATATACATCCCAACACAAAAGTCAAAGCATCAAAAACAAGATAGTCCTATTGATCATGGTGTGTACATGTAACTTATTGTGAAGTAAAATAATTATTGTGAGAGAATGATTTCAAAATATATAAGGATGTAGAGTATGTATATGTAATTTATTTTATCTGATTATTATCTTTACATTGAAGCTTGCTATTTAAAAATTTAATAATTTTAAGCTCGTTCAAGAAAAGAATTAAGGTTCTTGAAAGACATGCATTGTAGTGAGTACTACAAAACTTGTATTTTTTTTGTGTATCTAGTTCGACTTTTTATATAAACCTGCAAATATGAGGTATCCTTTTTGCTGCCATATCTTGTGTAAGAAAGCTTTTAGGAGTTGTATGGAAAAATTAAGATGGTAGATTGGCATTCCAGTAAAATATTTGTATTTATCAAGTTCACGAAAATGAGTAAAATGTTATAATCAAATAAGCAAATGCACAATCCTAGGCCTTGGATTGTATTCGCTCACATGTAGGATTGAACATGGCGTTTGCTTGAAAAATAAAGAATTTTCCTAAGCTTATCAACAAAAAAAGGTCTTTCATGAATGATTATGTTATGCATGGAGAATCTTTGTCAAGATAAGAATCGTAATCATAATCATTCATTGCTCACATTTCTCTTAATAGGGTCTCGTTAGTTGCATAGTATAACGCTTAGAACACCCCGATTTGAAATGTTGGTGACAGTAATACTGTCTCGCAACCTATAACTGAAAGTAAGAAAATGTTTGACACGACAAGGTGGTTGCAAATTAAAAGAGTTTCTGTATGGTCTTTGTCATTTTTTATAATACTAATCAATTGCTATTTGTTAGTAGTTGCCTAGTCGACGAATATGTTCTTTTGTTGTTATTAATATGTTCGTTGGTCATGAATTAATAGTCTGTTTGCATGGTCAATTTCCACTGTTCCGTTAGAAAATAGTTTTGATATCCTTGCAATTTACATTGTCTAATTTTGTTTCATACAAGTTTACAATTAATTTAAACCAAAAACCTAACGCAATGATTCAAGAAGTTAACAAGTTCTCTGTTTAGGGGTTTCAAGCGAAGAATTGGAAAAGTTGAGGGTTAAAATGAAACAAGGCTTATACATAAGGGATCCATTTTGTGAATTAGAATAAAATAAATTAATTATCAAATCAATAAAAGGCTGGTCTTCTCTGAACTCCGTTGCCAGGGGTTCTTCTCTGGTCTACACACCGTTGGTTTGGCCAACATTTGAATACGAGGTGATGAGATCGACGAGACCCATTTTTCGAGTTCTCACCAGCCATACAGAACGAGCTGTCTCCAGTTCTTCATCTTCTTTTGAAACCTGTTTGGGAACCCCTGATCTTGAAAAAACTTTCTTCAAATCCCAAAACAGCGAAGATATTATCGTAAAAAGATTATGCCGGGAAAACAAATATGAAGAAGCTATCATTAGATTGTGTGAAGGATACCGTTTGACAGAAGCAATTCTATTACTTGATCGTATTAAGCGTCTCTCCCCATTAGTGAATTCTAATCTTCTTCAGCTTTGTCTTGAACAGAAATCCTTCGAAGGCACCAAAAGGGTCCATACGCATATAAAAGAATCCGGTTTTTTTCCGGGGGTATCGAGTTTTAATCGAATCATGGATATCTACTGTAAATGCGGGAGTCTTGTGGATGCACGTATTGTGTTCGATGAAATGCAAGAGAAGGATTTGTGTTCTTGGAATACTATGATTTCTGGGTTTGCAAAAGTCGGACGACTTAAAGATGCTAGGAACCTGTTTGATGCAATGCCCGAAAGAGACAATTTTTCTTGGACTGCAATTATTTCAGGATATGTTCGCCATGATTTGCCATATGATGCATTACAGTTGTGTAGAACAATGCTGCAAGACTATAATGTTAAGTGCAATAAGTTTACTATTTGTAGTTCTCTTGCAGCTTCTGCTGCAATTAAATCTTTAAATATCGGGAAGGAAATTCATGGTCATATTCTGCGTACAGGTATAGATTCTGATGCAGCTGTTTGGAGTGCTTTATCAGATATGTATGGGAAATGTGGGAGTTTGGATGAAGCTCGGCACATATTTGATAAGACATCGGATAGAGATGTCGCTACTTGGACAGCAATGATCAATCGGTATTTCAAACATGGAAGGAGGGAAGAAGGGTTTCTCCTGTTCTTGGAGTTGTTGAAATCCGGGAACAGACCTAATGAATTCACATTTGCCGGGATATTAAATGCGTGTGCACATCATAACACAGAATGTTTAGGTAGACAAGTACATGGGTATATGTCACGCATCGGGTTTAACCATTCTTCTTTTGCAGCAAGTGCCCTTGTTCATATGTATTGCAAGTGTGGCAACATAGAGGTTGCAGATAGGGTCTTTAAATGGATACCAAAACCAGATTTAGCTTCGTGGACTTCCCTGATCAATGGGTATGCTCAGAATGGCCAACCTGAAGAAGCGCTAAACTTATTCGAAACACTACTTGAATCTGGAACCAACCCTGATCACATTACATTTGTTGGGGTTCTTTCGGCTTGTACACATTCAGGATTGGTTGATAAAGGGCTTGCATATTTTAATTCCATAAAAGAAAAACATGGGTTAGCTTATACTGTTGATCACTATGCTTGTGTCGTGGATCTGCTTAGTCGATCTGGCAGATTTAGCGAAGCTGAAGACATTATCAAGAAAATGCCCATGAAACCAAACAAGTTTTTGTGGGCATCTCTTCTTGCTGGCTGTAGAATTCATGGAAATCTTGATTTGGCAAAGAAAGCAGCCGAAGCATTGTTCAGGATAGAGCCCGAGAATGCAGCCACCTATGTCACCCTCTCCAACATTTATGCGGCTGCTGGTAAATGGGGTGAAGTGGCAGAAGTCCGAAAGATGATGGATGTTAATGGAGTGGTGAAGAAAGCAGGGTGTAGTTGGACTGAAATCGAGAGAAAAGTGTATACATTCTTGATGGGAGATACATCCCATCCAAGATCAATGGAAATCCATGGGTTATTAGAGGAGCTGCAAAAAAAGATGAAAGAAGAAGGTTATGTCCCGAAGACGGATTATGTGCTTCATGATGTAGAAGAGGAGCAGAAGGAGCAAAACCTGTCGTGCCACAGTGAGAAACTGGCGATTGCATTTGCGATTCTTGCTACTCGGCCCGGAACACCGGTAAAAATATTCAAGAATTTGAGGACTTGTGTTGATTGTCATACAGTCATTAAGTACATCTCTAAACTTGTTAGTAGGAAAATTATTGTCAGAGATTCAAGTAGATTTCATTGTTTTGAGGGTGGGAGTTGTTCATGCAAAGACTATTGGTGACCTCCCTGGGCCATTTACCCAAACATTTACCTGGTAAGCACTTACCGGTAAGATTCAACACTAGCACTTGCCTGACCGGATAAAATTTAGTCCATTAAAACGGCATCATATGCAACAATCTATTCGGTAAGCGCTACCGTGAAGAGTCGTCATCCGTGCTTACCGGGTAAGACTCTCGGTCCTTGTCATCACTCTTACCGGGTAAGATTATTGGTGCCATGTTCATCGATAAAGTAATGTGACTTAGCGGCTGTTTACCTAAATGTTTACCCGGTAAGCGTTTACCGTTAGGAGTCAACACTATAATTTATTTTCTAGGTAAGATTGTAGTATCTCAAAATGGTATCGTGTGCAACAATATATATGGTAAGCGTTTACCCGGGTAAGAGTCGTCACCCTCACTTACCGGGTAAGACTCTCTATCCTTATCATCGCTCTTACTAGGTAAGATTTTTGGGTTTTGCCATGTTCGTCCAGTGAGGAAATTTGCCCAGTAAGTACCTACCGAGTAAGCGTTTAGTAAACGACCCCTTATTAAATACTTACTGGGTTAGCGTTTGATAAACGCCCTAAATTGATGAATGTGATGTTTGTCAATTATCAATTTCTTGAGCAGTCAAAGAGGCATGTTACATGAATACCACAATTCTGTATCTAAATGTTTGTAAGGATGGTTCTAATAAGATATGTGGAAATGCACATTCATACATAAAAAGATTCGCATATGAAATAAGGGGTTGTTTGTTCACAATTTAATGGATTGAACTTTATGAATGACTTATTCGGTCGGCCACATATATTTATTTAGGTGATGGGATTAAGCCACAATGTTATTTCTTTTCTATTCTATGAAATGCTTGAATTGGCTAGGGAGTTTATTATTGTAGTACTGTTGCATATTGTATTGTTATTGTCATTTTATTATTTTGTTACATTATACATGTTACTTGATAGTCTTCCGTTAAGTATGAAATAAATCATTGGATCAGAAAAACCAAAGGGAGTAAACCAAGTCCGTCATCTTCTGAATTTCGTGCACAACTTTTAAGTATCACCATGGGTGCTAGCAGTTGGGGATCGACTTCAAGTGAAGATGCACTCATTGTTGAGCTTTTTCGTAGATGGAGAAGCCTGGATGAGAAAATGGAAGCTCAGATGAAAATTAAACCAAACAAGTATTTTTCATTCAAGTTTAATATAGAATTGATGATAAATCCGTAATTTTCTTCATTTACACCATTTATTCAGCATATATAAACAAACAACAATTGACTTTTAACTAGACCTGTGAATTTTACTTAGAGAATACGACTTAATCCAAATACGATTGAAAAACAAACAACCCTTAAGAAAAATTTACATATACAAGCGACCGTTTACTAACGGTAACCGGATAAACATTTATCGAACAAGGTCACCATCCTCAATTACCTTACCAAGTAAGATTTTTGACCATCAAAATCACATAGTAAGATTGTTGGTAAACGTCTCTTATCAGGTAAGAGTCAACACCTTTATTTACAACGTAAAATTTTCGATTCTATCGTACCTTTTATCGACTAAGATTTTCGATTTTTGTTATACCTATTATTCGATAAGAGTCTCAGTTTTGAAATGATTTAAGTGACAACGTAAACATATACCCGCAAGAAAACGTAAAACGTTTGAGAGTTGAGATCCACTTTATATTAACAAATAAATTTAGTGTGGCTTAAAAAACCATGGGCACGTGAAGATGGTTAAATGTCACGTGTTTCGGGAAGGAGGAAATGGAGTTATACATAGAGCATGTAGGCGTGTATAAATGATTTGACTTTTTTGTTTTTTTTCATTGATGTAATTTCAATATCTAAATTCTCAAAAACAACAAATTGTACCAAAACTGTAGTAATTTCAGTAAATTACATTTTTAGTTTTTATGTTTATTGTACATTATTTATTTCTTTACCTCTTACTAGTTTTATTAAAAGACAACTATAATTTATAGTTTTATTAAGAGACAATCTTTAAATCATTAAATAATAAATTTTGTTTGATAAAAAAAGATATTTTTTAATGATTCTAAAATTTTCTAAATGATTTTACAACATCAACATCTTTTAACTATTTAACATTCTAATTTTATTATAAATAATTATATTATATTATAACTTAATTATTTTAACCATTTAATCATTCTGTTTTAAATAATTGATGCCCAAGAGTTGCGTCATTTTATTAGTGTCATACAGTGGGTAACGGTTATTCAAAGAAATCCAGTTTGCCATAAAGACGAAAGGTTTCCGGCCCGACCAACGGCAGCTTCCCGTTCGCGCCTTCTTTCCTTCCATGTGCCATGAATCACCATTACCCTAACCCATCACTTCTTTCTTAATTAATTCTTCATCTTCTGATCATCAACAAACATGAAGAAATTTAAACGCATTTATGATTGATCCGTTCTCCACTGCGACATTCTAGGGTTTCACCGGCGACTCTCAATTTCCATAAACCTACCCTCGCTCAAGTCTACTATGGTTTACCAATAAATTATTCTGGGGTCAATTAGATCTTAATATAGCGTCCCATTTTCAAAATCATGACCTGCTATTACTGCATAACACTGATAATTAATGATCTGCTTGAAGTGCGCCGCAATAGATCTCTATTCTATTTTCGAAGTCGATTCCATGTTACCCTCTTAACCAATTTGATGTTCCCAGCATTGTCTAAGTATATAAATTGTCAAATGGACTCGTCTCTGATCATCAAACTCTCATCTACTCGCGCTTGTTCGTTCCCTCTAAGTTCAAATTGGGGAAGCTTCATACAAGGCTTCTTTCAATTCTGTAAGTTTTAATTTCACTTGCTAAGCTGAATGAGTTATATATGGAATTCTGTCCCACTGTGATCATGAGTTCTTACCTGCTCGTAATTCATTAGTACTGGGCAACTGTGTAACATACAATCATCATGGTTTTGTTGATTCGATATTTATTAAGACGTACTTACTATTGAGGTTATTCATTTGCTCCAACTTAGTGAAACTGTGTTTTTTTTTAAGGTCTTTCGATTTTCAAAAGTTGCACTTGATAGGTTCGTAGTTGATGATGCAATCATGTTCTTCAAAGCAGTATGTAGAGGCATAAATCTTGAATAATTTTATATAGAGAGAGTTATGAATAATAGATTTGCACTGGAGACTCATATGGATCATATTATCTGACCACTTTTTGTGTGCAATGCATCAATTTCACATGCTGTATTAGTGCCAAGTGCAAGGTGGAACTTTTAGTGGGTTACATTTGGGGACTCTGGTCCTAGTTGATTATGTAGATGTCCCAATCTGGTCAAATTCTTCCACTTTTATCTTCTTAAGTTTGCACATTTTACAGTTCCTCATCCTGGGTTAATGATATGAAAGTCTGGTGACGGCATGTTGGGTTGGTTTCTGGTGACGGCATGTTGGGTTGGTTTACATATTTGGGTTTGAAGTTAAGTTCTGTATAGGCAGTCATGCATACTTGATCTGGCATTGTGTTAGCTATGTGACTTATAATGTCCAAAAATAGTTTTGCATGGAACTACTTCATGTGTCTTGTCGCAGCTTTTTCCCAATTGTGTCAAGGCTTACTGACCTTGCTATACAGTTAGCTTTTAGTTTCTCATAATCAGGTGTTCTGAATCCATCCTTTAATGATACAGGTATTAGATTATTGGAAAGACATACCCTGACACCATGAACCATCCCATCTTCCTACCGTTTTATCTTGGATTTTTGGCTTGGCTGTGTCTCTTCTCAGTGAAGGCTGAAGATCCATACAAATTTTTTACAATGGAAGTTACATATGGACAAATTAATCCACTCGGTGTTCCGCAAAGGGTAATAGTTAACACGTTTTTAGTTGTTGCAAAGTACAAAATGATGATATTTTACTTATAATATCTTATTGTGTACAACTGTGTAGGGCATACTTATCAATGGACGATTCCCAGGCCCGACCATTGACTGTGTCACCAATGACAATGTCATTGTCAATGTTATTAATAAGCTGGATGAGCCCTTTCTTATCACATGGTGAGTGTTTTTCAGTTACACATTTGTTTTTCTGTTCTTTTTTGTTTCTTGGGATCAAGACTCGTATTTTTTTGTTTAGTTCTGTATTTAAATAAAACTCATCATTATTTTGAGCGCATATTGAGTACTGTAGTAATTGCAAAACAGGAATGGTATCAAACAGAGAAAGACCTCATGGCAAGATGGAGTGTTGGGAACAAACTGCCCAATCCCTCCAAACTCAAATTGGACATACCAAATGCAAATGAAAGATCAGATTGGATCCTTCTCCTACTTCCCTTCAACCCTGATGCATAGGGCTGCTGGTGGTTATGGGGGGATTAATATCTATGCAAGGGCTGTGATTTTTGTCCCATATCTCAAGCCAGTTGAGCAATTCACCTTACTTGTCAGTGACTGGTGGAAATCCGATCACAAGGTTTGTAGTTAAGTTATTTTCTTTTTCTTTTCATAAAATCTCCAGTAGTTTATCCATTTTAAAGTTTTAAATTCGAAGGCCATAGGACCACCATTAAATATGTCAATGACATTAGAAGATTGTATTTTTGGCTTCATGTTCTTGTTGCATTCCCAAAAGGTATATCTTCGACAAACAGTTAATGAGGTCCTTCTTTCAGGTGCTACAACAAACACTGGACTCTGGGAAACCTCTTCCTATGGCTGATGCTCTCCTCATCAATGGGCACCCTAGTTTAAAGTCTTTTACTGTTCTAGGAGGTAATTATTCCGTTATGTATCCACGTTTTAAAGGCCTCATCTTCATTATAATGTGGCTCTGTAAACTTAATATGATGTGGTTTCTTTCCAATATTTGTTCTAGTAATGACCAACTCCTGATTGTTGTGTTTCAGGTCAATTGTACATGTTTAGGGTGTCAAATGTGGCCTTGACTACTTCAATTAATTTTAGGATCCAAGGACATACAATGACATTGGTTGAGACAGAAGGATCACATACGTTGCAAGAAACGTATGAATCACTTGACCTTCATGTTGGTCAATCTGCTTCTTTCTTGGTCAGAATGAGTGCTTCTCCAAAGGACTATTTCATTGTTGCTTCAACTCGTTTTACCAAGCCCATTCTTACTGCTACTAGTATTCTTCACTATGATGGCTCTAACACCAAAGCTTCTTTGCCATTGCCTACTGCTCCCACATATCATATTCATTGGTCAATGAAGCAAGCAAGGACAATCAGGTACAACATTTTCTTGATTTCTCATGGTCACCTCATTGGTAGCGTTCTTACGATCCTAAGATTTAGTGATTTACCTTTCCTTTGTCTTGTAGATGGAATTTGACAGCAAATGCAGCTAGGCCCAACCCTCAAGGTTCATATCACTACGGGACAATTCCAGTAACGAGAACGATTGTGCTGGCTAATTCAGAAGAAAATATCAACGGCAAGCTTAGGTATGCTGTAAATCAGGTGTCCTACGTTAACCCAGAAACTCCACTGAAGATTGCTGACTTTTATAACATTTCTGGAGTCTTCAAATTAAACTCAACCAAAGATACACCCCATTCAATCCCTGCAACTCTTGGCACCTCTGTTCTTGGTTTCACTCTACATGACTACGTCGAAATCATCTTCCAAAACAACGAGAACACCACTCAATCATGGCATCTTGATGGTTCAGATTTTTGGCCTGTTGGGTAAGCTTCTTTTTTAGCTTTTTTTTCATTTGTCTTCATAGAAAGTAACTAAAATCACATGGCATGACGAACCATGGGCATAAACTAGGTCCTTGCGGTTGTTAACAGTTTGCAAATTATAGGTTTGGGTCTGGCCAGTGGGACACCACAAAGAGGAGGAGATTTTACAATCTGAATGATGCTACCACAAGACATACCGTGCAGGTAACATAATCAGCCCTTTTGGATCATTTAAAGTTCCAACTTTTATACCAAAATAGAGTTTCTTGAACAAAATTATCTATAAATTGTTGCAGGTATATCCAAAATCATGGAGTGCAATATTAGTTTCTTTGGACAACAAGGGTATGTGGAATCTGAGGTCTGCAATCTGGCCAAGGCAATACCTTGGACAGCAGTTGTATATTAAAGTTTGGAATGATGAACAGAGTTATCGCACTGAATATGGCATCCCAGATAATGCATTAAGGTGTGGACAGGCACCATTGAAGTAGAAAATTAAGCTTCAAACATTGTTTTGGATCTTAATCTGGTTACGAGGGTGTAACTGGGAGGGAATAGACCAAAACAATTATCATTTGTGTTTTAATTTAATACAAGTGATTTTTCTCGTGGTTTAACATATTTATTCTGTAAGTTCAGTTTATATATCCGACAAAAATAAAATAGATGTGTATACGGATAATCCATTCTCGTTTATAAATTTTTATTGAAATATTATTGTATTGAGGTGATTTTTTTTTATAATTCAGTAAAAAGTGGTTTATTTGATTTTAAGGTGTCCGGTTTGTTGATTTCACTACATATATCATTTCCGTTATATGAAACTCATTTATTCAAAATGAAAAATAAATTTAAGGTTTCAGGTTTTTTCCTTTAAACCGGTTAATTCTAACTTTGATGCATTTTGAAGAAAAATAAATTGTTACCTGAAATTTTTTTTTAGAGTAAATTACATGATTTGTCCCTGTGGTTTATGTGTTTTAATATATTGAGTCTCTATTTTGAAATATCTATGAATTATATCCCTGTGATTTAAGTTAGGGGGTCCCATTAAAAACCCAATAACCTAGCATGGGGGAGATTTTTTTTAATGGATTTTTGGTTGTACCACCCAAATCCCCCTTCTCCCAAAAAAAGGCACAATCTTATTGTTTTATTTGTTAATAATTTTGTTATTATGTACAAATATTATATATAAAAAGGGATTTGTCTCTTTTACTACATTTGTTACAAATTAATTATATGTAACATGTGATATTTTTTTGTTATAAATTAGTTTAGTTATTAACTTATTATTCTTTTTATCATTTGATTATGAATTATTCGAATTTTGTTATCGATTCAACCAAAATGGTAAAAAATAATCAAAATTCGAACCAAATAAGTTAATATTATTCGACTAACCAAACCGTTTTGGTTCGTTTGAGTTGTTCAGTTTTGAATTCTTTTGACACTTTTACATGTGCCTCCAGTCACCAAAATTTCTGAATCCGTCACGTTCGGAATCAAACAAGAAAATCCTCAAATTGAAGAGGTATGTGCACAACTAAGCCAAATTGAAATATGGGTTCATAAGATCTTTAGATTTACCAAAACTAACCCGTCCCTTCTATGGTTTTGTGCAAAATTGACTCGTCCCTTCCGTATTCTTTATGATGGAAAAAAATGGAGGAGGTGGAAGGAAGGTAAGGTTATGCGGTGGAGATGAAGATGTTGATCCTTCGTGGATTTGCTTCGTCTCCTCCTATGAATCGAAAACTTCTCCTTCGTGGATCTATGTTACCATTTGTATCTGGGAGAAGGGCGGTGGAGATTGGAGACGAAGGAATAAGGAGGATCTGGATTGGTCGTGTAGTGACCAATGTGGTGGTGGGGGGGGAATGGTTGGTTTCTCTGTTGTGGGATGGAAGGCTACAATGAAGAAAAGATAAAAGTCAGGAGTGGTTGAGGTTTCTATTTATGTCCGCACACACGCACTAATTAATTATTAATTTAATTTGTTAAGTCAAAAAAATTTAAAAGGTTAAAAAAATCAATGAGGGATTTCCAGTGGCTAGAATCCGTCGGAAACGGTCAATTTGTCATAAATAGTGTTTTCCGACCAACAAATCCTCCGGTAATGTACTCCAAACATTTGTCAGAAATAGTGTTTTCACTTTAATGTACTCCAAATATTTTTTTTGTACATTTTCTATATTTTGGTTAGTTTATGTAATTTATTAAATACTACTAATAATAAAACAATATAAAAAGGATATAAATTAGAAAGTAATAAACTTCATATTCTAGTGTCATTTTAATCATCTTGAAAAAAAAATTCTAAAGATATATTATATAAAAATATTTGTTTTATTTTTTTAATTAATTAATTACATAAATTAATCAATCAAAACATAAAAAATATATAAACAACTCAGTAAAAATAAATTAGTCATTTTATCATTCATATCATATTGTTCTTTCTTATTAAACGTTGAACAACTATCATTTTATGTCATATTTTATTCTATCATGCTGTGGTATATCCTATTTGAATACATTATCCAAAACATATTCTGTTTCACCAAAATGTTTTGAGGCTGCCACAGATTAATAAAGAGACTTCTTTCCAGAGGAATAATACAGGCCGCATGCAACAATCTAAGCCCACAATCAAATCAATTCCATCTTTTTCTATATCCCTTTCCACTTTTATATATATATATATATATATATATATATATATATATATATATATAACTCAATATTTCGTTCTTTATTGTTCTCGTGTATGTGTGTTTTATANATATATATATATATATAACTCAATATTTCGTTCTTTATTGTTCTCGTGTATGTGTGTTTTATATTTACATATAAAAGGAGTTGTTATCATCACTTACAATATATATATATATATATATATATGCAAATTTAAATGAGAAACAAGAATCTAAAACCCAACTATTCATATTATTCAAAGTTATTTATTATAATAATACATGAAGCAGTTATTAAATAGCCCAACGATATTTAGGTTGTCGTAAACCTAGCCTCCCCGGTGGTCAAGAATTCAAACGTCACAAAATGCAAGGAGATTGCGTGAGTTTAGAGTAAACTATAAACTTGGTCCTTGTGGTTTGGTGTTTGTAACACTTTTGGTCTTTATAATTTCAAAATTACAGATTCGCTATCGGTATGCAAAAATGACGGGATTTGGTTTCTCACTCTGACGACCATTAGAAGAACCCGTTAAGTCAGGGGTAATTTAGTCTTTTTCTACTTTTATTTCATTTTTCTTTAATAGATAAATAAATATATAAATTACAAGGACAAAAAATGTGACTTACTATAATATATAAACCAAAAATGTAATCTACTTTAATCCTTATACATATACATACATATTCATATATTATCAGAGAGTAAACCTAAACCCAGAACAACTATCTATCGGCCAATCCCACCCCACCACTCTCCATCAGCGAACCCATACGCCCAAATCAAACCTCCATCCTCGTCTCTCCCTCTGGTCACGACAAACTCCAAATCGTCGGCCAAAGCCAACTATCTAGTCACAGACCTCCTCGTCGGCATCCCTCTTCCCCGATCTCAATATGCCCTATTGAAGCACCTCGTCGTCGTCCCTCTCCCCCTTAGGTCTACCAAACCATCAGGTCTATGGATTATGAAGCAAACTCGATTCTGATGCAAAAGGCAGTTTGCTTCATCTACAACGGATCTATATTACTTAGTGTTTGATTTTAATTTAGAGGTATAGATCTATGGGTGTATCTTCTTCCCTGTGATTAATTTACTCTTTGAAGATAGAGATACAGGTTTGATTTTAATTTAGATTTGGATATGTTTATATTTTGGCTGGAGAAAGATAAAGTTGGTCGGAGAAGATGATATGAACTACATATGTGGTTTTGATTGGGTAAAAACAAAAGCAAATTGTAAAATGATTAAATTACCCTTCACATAAACGGGTTTTGTGAGGGACCACATTCAGTAGTTTTTGTATACCATGATGTCAAATCTGTAATTTTAAAATTGTAAGGACCAAAAATATTACAAACAACAAATCAAGGAACAAATTTATAGTTTACTCTAAATATTATATACTTTAAAAAAAAATAGTTGTACTAAATTTAATTTCAATCAGATAACAATAAAAACAACAATCTAGAAATTAAATTATATATATATATATATATATACTAGAAGCGTACTCGTGCAATGCAGCGAAATACATCATGATTTTAATATTTCATTTTATTATTTATCTCAGTCGATATTATAATATGACTTTATGTGATTTTGAGAAAGCGATGATGTTTTTATTTTTGAATAAAATATATGTTTGAA